CATCTTTTCTGACTTCTCATTGGCTAAGCAGCCAGTACACCGCTAAATAACTTGTGTAATAAGAATCCAAGAAGGTGATCTAGGGTTTTTCCACCTCACTCCTGGAGGAAAAAATGGAGGTCCCCTGCTGAAGGGGCTAAGAAATGTCATATCCTTCCCTAGCTGGTTTGGCTCAGTGGGTAATGCCTCGGCCTGCCCAACACAGATTCTGGGTTCAATTCTGACCAAGGGCATGTACCTAGGTTGCAGGTTCCTCCCTGGTCCGGGCCCAGGTCAGGGCTCATGCAGGAGGCAACCAATCAAAGTGTTCCTCTCACTTTGATGCTTCTCTCTGTCTTTCCCTTTCCCTTCCACATTCTCTAAAAATCAATGGAAACATATCCTCAGGTGAGGAGAAGGAAGGAGGAAGGAAGGAAGGAAGGAAGGAAGGAAGATGGAAGGATGGAAGCATGTATGGATGGATTCTTTTCAAGGTAAGGGGACTGGAGTCCGTGTTGATGAAAACATCTTGGTCCGTGTTGCAGTGGCTGCAACAGTGCGGAGATGGGGCTGCGGCCTTCCCCTGATCAGCCTGGTTGACTCCCATAAAGGGAGGCCAGACTGTGGCTTAGGCCCAAGCCCCAAGGGGAGCAGGGAGCAGGTAATAGGACATCCCCTAGGGCTCCCAGTATGTGATAGGGGGCAAGCTGGGCTGAGGGACCCCCCCCCCCCCGCCGTGCACAAATTTTTGTGCATTGGGCCTCTAGTATATATATAAAAGCCTAAGTGACTGAAGGACCGAACTACCAGTCAACTGGTTGCTATGATGTACACTGACCACTAGGGGGCAGGTGCTCAACGCAGGAGCTGCCCCCTGATGGTCAGTGCACTCCCACAGCCAACCTTCCATGGCTGGCCAACCTCCCAAGGTCCTTCCCCCGCTCCCCCCACCGGTGGGCCAGCCCCCCAATCAGCCCCGATCACCGGCCAGGCCAAGGGACCCCCACCCGTGCACGAATTCTTGCACCATCCTCTAGTAATAATGATAATAATAAGCCCTGGCCAGTGTGGCTCAGTGCATGAATGTGATCCCATGCACTGAAAGAATACCAATAGGGGGCATGCAGGAGCCAGCCAATTGCTCTTGCCTTGATGCTTCTCTGCCTTCATCTCTCTCTAAAAATCAATAAAGATATTTTAAAAATAATAAGTAAATTAATAAATAAAAGTAAAAATCATGCTTGGAATTATTGTTTCATTGTGAAGACTTTCAGGGCCTGCAATGTGGACCAACAAAGCTCTGAAAGACCAATTGATACCGGGTCTTTGGCAATATGACATTAACTGAATTAAGTTGTATAAGCAAAGCACCCCTTTGAGCATGCTTTGTGACGAGTACCTTGGAGGCAGTATGTCATAATGGTGAGAAGCAGAGACTTGGGAATTAGACTGACCTGTGTTTGACTCCCATTTTCAGCACTTACTAGCTGAGTGCCTTTAGGCAATTCCTTTAATTCTTCTAAGCTTTAATTTCCTAATTTGTAAATTGGCAGCAGCATCTACCATAAAGTTGTGAAGAAGATAATCCTATATAATAAAAGCATAATATACAATTTTTTCCCTCGGGCGGTCATTTGACCCGGAATTTGACCAGGAGACAGGGAGTTTGCTCGCTATAATGTGTGCTGACCACCAGGGGGTGGCACAGAACATGGCGGGTGCTGGCAGTGGGAGGCAGTGGAGGTACTGCCGGCCCCAACGGGCCCTGATGAGGGCGAGAACAGGACCATGGCGGGATGGTGGACAGGTGAGTGGGTGGCACCATGCCAAGGCAGGTGTGTGTGGTGGGGGGCAGGGGTGGTTTAATGGACCCATCAATTGCCCCGCAGGCAGCGACCAGCAGAGGTGGCAGGGGCAGGGCTGCCGCCGGCTCTCAGGTGCTGAGGGAGAAAGGGCAAATAGCAATATTAAAATATTCTAATTATTTTTCTTTCAATGTGCACAAATCTGTGCACCAGGCCACTAGTATCCTATCTAATAAAAGACAAAAAGGGTAATTAACCGTACCTCCACTACACTTCCCATTGGCTAATCATGGTGATATGCAAATTAACTGCCAACCAAGATTGCAGCCAGCAGCCACGCAGCTGAAGCGAGCGGGAGGCTTGCTTGCTCCAGTGATGGAGGATGCCAAGGTTCCCTGCCTGCTGCGGCCTGGCTCTGAGCTCCACTCTAAGCAACAGCTCCAAAAGCAACAGAGTTTCAGTTATAGGAGCTAAACAAACCCCAGATACCTGCTTTCAGCCGGCCACGGCCTCAGAGCTGGGAGCACCAGTGACGGCAACAATGTTTCAATTATAGAAGGTAAATAAATCTCAGAATATAAAAAAGAAAAAAAGGAGAGGTTGGGAGCTTCAGTCGACCGCCAGCCTGAAAACGGCCCTCAGCCCCTCACCCAGGCTGGCCCGGCACCCAAGCGGGACCCCCACCCTGATCCGGGAAACCCTTCAAGGCAAACCAGCCGGTCCCCACCTGTGCAACAGGCCTCTATCCTATATAGTAAAAGGGTAATATGTAAACTGACCCTAACAGCAGAAAGACTGGGAATGACTGGTCACTATGACACACTCAACGCAGGAGCTGCCCCCTGGTGGTCAGTGCACTCCCACATGGGGGAACTCCGCTCAGCTACAAGCCAGGCTGACAGCTGCCAGTACAGCGGTGGTGGTGGGAGCCTCTCTTGCCTCCTCAGCAGCGCTAAGAATGTCTAACTGCAGATTAGGCCTGCTCCCCGCTGGCAAGTGGACATCCCCCGAGGGTTACCGGGCTGCCAGAGGGATGTCTGATTGCCATCTTAGGCCCAATCCCCCAGGGAGCAGGCCTAAGCCGGCAGGTGGTCATCCCCTGAGGGGTCCCAGACTGCGAGAGGGCACAGGCCGAGCTGAGAACCCCCCCACCCCGAGTGCACAAATTTTTTTCTAATTATTTTCCTTTCAATGTGCATAAATCTGTGCACCAGGCCACTAGTATATTAATACATAAGATTATATAATCTAAGTGCTCCTACTTAGAAAGTGCTCAACAATACATATTCATTATTAGCAGTAATAGATGACAAAAATATTTAAAATATGTTGCAGCTCCATTTTTAAACCAAAGTCTCAGAAGAGGTGTCCCTCATTTTCCTTTCTTTAAAAAAATGTTTTTTAAATTTATTGATGAGAGAGAGAGAGAGAGAGAGAGAGAGAGAGATCTGCTGCTCCACTTGTTCAAGCGTTCATTGGTTGTTTCAGACCCAGGACCTTGGGTGTGAGGATGATGCTCTAACCAGTGGTTCTCAACTTTCTGGCCCTTTACATACAGTTCCTCATGTTGTGGTGACCCCCAACCATAAAATTATTTTCGTTGCTACTTCATAACTGTAATGTTGCTACTGTTATGAATCGTAATGTAAATATCTGATATGCAGGATGGTCTTAGGTGACCCCTGTGAAAGGGTCGTTCGACCACCAAAGAGGTCGCCGACGACCCACAGGTTGAGAACCGCTGCGAGCTATCCAGCCAGGTCTCATTTTCCTTTTAAAACCACTTTGACACTTTCCTCTGGCAGGTATTCAGGGTCAAATTTCCAATCTTCTCCTCTCTCTCTCTCTTCTCCCAAATGGCTGTAGTTTTGAAATATTTGTTCCTTACATCTTCCTTCACTCATTCCTTCACCCGCCCAATGAGTACCTTTAAAGCATCTAATTTATGCAACGCACTGATGCTATGAAGATCTTAAAATTAATCAGACACAGATCTTGCCCTAAAGAAGCGCAGTCTCCTCTAGCAAATGAACATACAGACACCACGTTAAACTGGAATCTCAGGTAAACAACAAGTAATTCGTTAGAAGCGTGTCCCGTGCAATGGGACACCATGCCTGGGAAGGCCTCTAGTGGAACATAAATGGAAAGAGAACGCACCAAGAGTCGTGGGACTATTCCTTAAAGACGCGGCTTACATTCTGAGGGGACCGATGCATGAGGAAATGTATGCCCTGTGATACTGATGTGGGTATCCCAGATGGAAAGCGCCCTCCATGCGCCTACCCTCCCGCCTTCCCACCGTGACCGCAGGGTGTCGCCACAGGCGCCCAGAGAGGCTGCTTCCCAGCCGTCTCCGCCTCCGCGCTTGCGCGGGCAGAGCAGGCGCGCCGGGAGGAGAGAAGGTCTCGCGAGAGCTCAGAGCTGCTTGTGTTCCCCTAGCGACCGGCCGCGGACCACAGGCGGGTCTCTCCGGGCGGAGTCCCTCAAGTGGCCTGGCCAGGGTTGGAGCGAGACCCCAGCCGCAGGCCGGGGTGCCTGCCAGGCAGAGGAGACGGATTCAGCGGGGCTCCAGGTAGGCGGCAGGCGGGGGACCGCTGCCTCTCTCCCGCCCGGGAGGAAAGAGGGGGACGCCCCTTCCCGCCGTCCAGGAGCCCCCGTGTTGCTCGTCTCCGTTACAGCTGCTCCTTGACTCCCTCCCTCCCGCCACTCACCATCATCCTGCTGCGTTTACTCCCCAAGAAACTGAGAGGGATTCGACCTGCAAGACGGAGGTGGGGTGGAGGTGGGGGCGATGCTCCCGGGGTTATTGGACGGGACTGAGACGGGAGTGCCCCCGGCGCCCGGTCAACGAGGGAACCCCTGGGACAAGCCTCTTCTAGAGCCAGTACGGCCTCCCTGGGAAACCTCGCTAGCCTCGGGGGACGCACGGAGCCCGGGAGAGAGCCGCCATCCCCCAGGAAAGCTATGCCCCTGCGGCGGGGCTGACCGTCTAGGGAGCAGAGGAGACGTCAGCCGCTGTTCCCGCCAGGCGCTGCCTCCTCGGCCAGTCTGGCCGCAGGCCCTACCGGGACTGCCGCAGAGGGACTCCCTGCTGGACCTCGGGCCAGCGGGCCAGAAGGAGGGTGTGAAAGGGGGCGAAGTGGGTGTCGTGGGTAAGGAAGAGGATCAGTGCCCCTCTCCACGGAGTGCGTGGTGTCCGATCCGTAACCATGTCTCTTTTTGCTTAGACCAAGATTGTTGAAAACCAGACATATGATGAGCGCCTAGAGATTAACGACTCCGAAGACGTGGCAAGTATTTATACTCCAACCCCAAGATACAGAGGTAAGAGAGGAAGGAAAAGGAAAGAAAGAAAACGGTCCTCGGAACAAAGAGCAGCTGGGCCGATGACTGTCTCCAAGAAGTCTGTTTTGTAGTAGCAGATGTCCGCGTTCAGAGCCGGGTTTCCTCACTGGCCGTTGCCCTGTGTTGTAACTAGTTATGGGGGAAGAAAACACAGCCCCAGGTTTCCCGGTCTTCCTCCAGCCTGATCAGTGTTCCCAACTGCCACTTACGTCAGGCTGCTGCTCTGCTCAGTCTGTCGGGCCTGGTGTGTGTGTGTTTTAACTTATTAAAACTGTTTTGCTCATTTTTGAAGATGCTTCAGTAACCTGCCCTTAACCTGCAATCCCAATAAAAATATCAATGGGATATTTTAAGAGGACCTGACACTGTCATTTATTCAACAATGCATTATATATATACTAGAGGCCCATTGCACGAAGAGATTCGTGCAATAGGCCTTCCCTTCCCCAGGATGCCGGCACCAGTTTTCTTCCGGAACCCGGACCCAGGCCTTCCCTCAGGCTGGAGCCTTCAGTCTTGGCTTTGCCATTTCTCCCCTACTTATGCAAATTAACCGCCATCTTTGTTGGGTTAATTTGCATACTCTCCTGATTGGCTGGTGAGCATAGTAGAGGGATGATTAATTTACATGTTTGTCTATTAGGTAAGCGATATATATATTGATTTCAGAGAGGAAGGAAGAGGGAGAGAGAGATAGAAACATCAATGATGAGAGAGAATCATAGATCAGCTGCCTCCTGCAAGTCCCCCACTGGGGATTAAGCCCACAACCCCGCCATGTACCCTTGACCGGAATTGAACCTGGGACCTTTCAGTTCGCAGGTCGATGCTCTATCCACTGAGCCAAACCAGGTAGGGCCAGCAATGCATTTTTGAATGCGTACTGTGCATCAGCCTTATGCTCGGTACTGCACATACAGGTATTAAAAAACATTGCTTCTGCCACCCTGAGGCTTGTAATCATGGGAGACATGACAAATGAATAAATGAACATACAAATGTGGTAAATGCATTGATGGAGGCAAAGAGCTTGATGTTAGGGAGAATAATGGTGAGGAGTGGGATCTATTTTTTAAAAATATATATTGATTTCAGAGAGGAAAAGAGAGGGAGGGAGGGAGAGAAACATCAATGATGAGAGAGAATCATTGATCAGCTGCCCACTGCACACCCCCTACTGGGGATTGAGCCTGCAACCTGGGCATGTGCTCTTGACCAGAATTGAACCCAGGATCCTTCAGTCCACAGGCTGATGCTCTATCCACTGAGCCAAACCGGCTAGGGCTGGGATCTACTTTTGATAGGTTATCAGGGATGGCCTAATGAGGTGACATTTGAGACTGAAAGATGGGGGGATCCAGACAGTGAGGAAAAGTAGGCCAGGAAAAAAGAACAGCAAATGAAATGTGAAAAGGCCCTGATGCCAGAAAGAAATTGAGTTTGAGGACTTGAAAGGGACCAGCTTGTGGGGGGAAGGAGTGATATCAGAATAAACATGCAGGAGGGAGGTGGAGAGAGGCAGCAGCGGGAAGCAGAGCCCTGGAGGCTGTGCTACTGCCCTAGAATGGGTGGAAAGGTGAAAGGAGGAAGCAGTTGGAAGGACTGTTGCAATGGCTGAGTTGAGTGATAGTGGCTTGTATGTTGTGAGGAAGCTGAGAATAAAGAGAAGAAAAATCACTAAAACTTGTCCGGCCGGTGTGCTCAGTGGTTGAACATCAACCCATGAACCAGGAGATCATGGTTTCATTCCCAGTCAGGGCACATGTCTGATTTGCGGGCTTGATCCCCAGTGTGGGGGATGTGTAGGAGGCAGCTGAGCAGTGATTCTCTCTCATCATTGATGTTTCTGTCTCTCTCCCTTTCCCTGCCTCTCTCTGAAATCAATAAAAAATATTTTAAAAATCACTAAGACTTGATTATGGATTGGATTTGGCTTTTGAGTTAGGAACAAAGGGTGACATTTAGGGTTGTTTGTTTTTTGTGGTAAATACCGTATACCTAATATAAAATTTACCATTTTAACCCTATTTTAAGTATATAATTCAGTGGCATTAAGTAAATCCATATTGCATAGCTATCTCACTATCTATTTCCAGTTCTTTTGCACCATCCTGAACAGAAACTGTACCCATTAAATAATAACTCCCCATCTCCCTCTGCCTCCCAGCTCCTGGTAGCCTCTATTCTACATTGTCTCTATGAATTTGCCTACTCTAGGTACACATAAGTGGAATCTTACAATATTTGTTCTTTTGTGTCTAGCTTATTTCACTTAGCATAATGTTTTCAAGATTCATTCATGCTGGAGCATGTGTTAGAATATCCTTATTTTTTATGGCTGAATAATATTACATTGTCTATATAAACACATTTTGTTTATATATCCATCTGCTGTTAGACATTTACGTTATTTACATCTTTTGGCTATTGTGAATTTGTGAATATGCTGCAATGAATATTAGCATACATGTATCTGAGTCAATGCTTTTAATCTTTTGGAGAGATATATATATACCTGGACTCCCAGGTTTTTGACTCAACCATGTTTTTAATCATGCTGGCTGTGGGCATGATAAATTCATTTTGAGTAATTCAGTAGGCTGGAAAATGGTGTTTAATAGGCATTTATTTGATTTAGAAATCTACATCTGGTTAATTATTCAGAATATTTTTATTGCTTTATGGGCACTTATTCGGATTTATTTTTTAAAATATCTTTTTATTGATTTTTAAAGAGAGGAAGGGAGAGAGATAAATAGGAATGTCAATGATAAGAGAATTATTGATCGGCTGCCTCCTGCATACCCCCTATTGGGGATCAAGCCCGCAACCTGGGCATGTGCCCTGACCAGGAATCAAACTGTGACCTCTTGGTTCATGGATCGACACTCAACCACTGAGCCACATGGGCCAGGCTGATTCAGATTTATATTTGTGACTAATTTTTAGCAGGAGCTGGGTTCGTTTCTTTCATCTAAGTTCTTTCATTTGATCCTTACAACAGTCCTGAGTGAGAGGTATTATGGACCTCGTTCAGAGGTAGGAATACTGAGACCCAGAGAAGGGGTCATTTTGTCCAAGTGATAGAATGTCCTCCAAACTCAGTATTTTGAGTATAAATCCAGTACTCTTTTCACTTTATTAATTACTAACCTCATTTTATCAATGTGTATGTAAACTAATGGCAGATTTTATACTATTTATGTAACAGCAAATAATCAGTTAGTATAATGTCTAACCCAGTGCCTTCAGCACAGAAATGCTTAGTAAATACATGTTTGAATTGAATTGACAGAGCCATGGCTAGGGTTCAGTCTCCTATCTTTTAGCTAGATGCTCATATAAACTGTGGTCAGATTATAAAATATTATAAACTAGAAATTATTTGTCCTTAAAAATTCTTTTAACAATAACCTAAAGGGAAAACTTTTCTTCTAAGGACTTGCTCGTTCTGCCCATCCTCCAAACAAGACTATGGCTGATAACAGCAGTGATGAGTATGAAGAGGAAAATAACAAGGTGCAGTATCGCCCAGCTTCTCCTGCTTTGATTGTTTAGTAGTTACAGTTGACACCAGTTCAGTAGTAAGCATTTCTTGGATGGTCACCTCCAGTGGTCTGGTATCTTTGAGCTCATGGAGGATAATTAGTAAGAAAAAACCTTAAGATTTTTGACTCTCCTTTGGAATAAAGACTACTGTTACAGCTGACTTTTTTAAAAGATTTTTAGAAATTGAGTTTTAGAAAGGAAGGGAGAGAGAGAAACATTAATCGCTGCCTCCTGCACTCCCCCTTCTGGGAATCGAGCAGGTAACCCTGGGGATGTGCCCTGACTGGGAATCGAAACTGCAACCTTTCTATGTAGGGACAGCGCCCAACCAACTGAGCCACATCGGCCAGGGCTACCGCTGACGTTCCGGTGAGGAGCTTCATATAATACAGGCCAGTGTTCTGCAGACTTTACTGATCATAAGAATCAGCTGGGGACACTTAGTTTTTAAAATTCAGATTCCCAGTCCCCATCTAGAAATACCAAATCAGAGTCTTGAAGGTAAAAGCATGGGGGTTTATATTTTTAGCAAGCACTCCAAGTAATTTTCTTTCTTTTCTTTTTTTTTAAATATATTTTTATTGATTTTGGAGAGGAAGGGGAGAGGGAGCGAGAGAGAGAAACATCAGTGATGAGAGAATCATTGATCGGCTGCCTCCTGTATGCCCCACACTGAGGATCAGGCTCACACCGGGAATTGAACCCTGACCTCCTGGTTCATAGGTTAGTGTCCAACCACTGAGCCACGCCAGCCAGGCCCAAGTAATTTTCTTTATAAAGCAAGTTTGGAGTCATTGTTTTAGGCATTCATTTATTGTCAATATTTTGTGAAAGAGACTTTAATTTTGAAGTCTTAAGACCCAGATGTTACTTTATTGTTGTTCTATGAACTGTTTCTGAGAGAAAGACAGAAAGATGCCTACAGCTCTAAGCCAGGTGAGGCCTTAAAGTTGCGCGTGTGCTCTTTTAGCATCATTGTGTTCAGCCTTAGCCTGTGGTCCACTGGTCTCAGGTTAGCTTTCCGTGAGGAACAGGAGCCTTCACAGCTCTATGAGAGAGAACATTTGAAGCAGCACAGAAAGCTTTGGTGATATAGACTGATTTCGTAAAAGGCCCGAGAGGTGCCATTTTAATGTAGCCCCACTTTGTGAGTAGTGTGCTGTGTTTTTAATAGTGTGTGTTAACATCTAACCCACAGAGTCATTTTTCAGGTGTTTGTATAATGCCATGTTATAAAAAAATATCCAAGGCCATGTATAATAAATCTGTGTTGTGCTGTGACCAAAAGAAGTTTTTGTGTTTGTGTGTGTTTAAATAATTTTTTATTGATTTCAGAGAGGAAGGGAGAGGGAGAGATAGGAACACCAATGATGAGAGAGAATCATTGATCTGCTGCCTCCTGAATGCCCCACACTGAGGATCGAGCCCACAACCCAGCATGTGCCTTGAGCGGGAATTGAACCGTGACCTCCTGGTTCATAGATTGATGCTCAATCACTGAGCCATGTCAGCTGGGCCCCAAAACAGTGTTTGATGTCCTTTAATGTGTCACAATTATATGTGCCAGTAGCTGCTTTACCATGAAAGAAATCTACAATAATAAAAGGATAATATGATCGTTAGACCGGACGTCCTTCTGGACAAAGCTGGGGGTCAGAGGGAAGCTACCCAGGTCTCAGGTGCCGGAGGGAAGCCGGTGCCAGCAGCCAGGGGAAGGAAGGCCTACTCTTGCACGCATTTTCATGTATCGGGCCTCTAGTGTTATATAATTTAAAAACTAGAACCAAAATCTATTAACCTTAGTATAAGCCATATAGCATTTGGAAACCAAGCTTTCAAAATCTACTTTTAAAGGGGGCCAATTGGTCATCCTTCAGGTCCTAAGTGAGGGCACTTCTCAGGCTCCAGGCCACAGAGGCAGAGATATGGACCCCACCCCAACTGCCCCTCCAAGCTCCAAGCACCATCAGACCCCTTCTCATGGCCTTGAGAGGGTGGGATGGTACACAGAGAAGCTGAAGCTCAGAAAGATAGGTTTGTAATGCCAGTAACGGAGAGTCTCTTGAGATACAATGCATAGTCGTTGCATTTTTTGTATTTAAAAATTATTGATTGATTGATCTTAGAAAGAGAGAGACATTGATTTGCTGCTCCACCTATTAGTTCATTCTTATATGCTCCCTGACTGGCAATTGAACCTGCAGCCTGGGTGTATCAGGACGATACTCTAACACCTGATCCACCCAGCCAGGGCCTAATCCTTGCATCTAACTTAAGGGGGAAGGGAAGGGAAATTTGGATCAGTTAGATACCCTTTGAAGAGAATGGAAACAGAATACCTGTGGTCTCTGGAACTGCTGATCAGAATTCAGGCACAGAGTTGGTCATGAACAAGCAGCTTACTCTGGGCAGTCTTGCAAATTAAATACTAGATTTCCTCCTTAGGACCTCTGAATATTAAGATCCCCTAAAGTTTGTCTTCACACTTCACTTTTCCTCATTTCCTTCCAATATAATAATTTAGAGGTGCCTTTCTCCAAAAGTCCCCAGGGTTGAATCTACTGGGTAGTTTATGCAGAGGTCTCAGAGTCTCCTACGTAACAGGTCAGATAGATATATATTGGATAAAATTTATGCCTAAACCTCAAGCAGAGAACTAGAATATGGTTATAGAAAGTGGGGACCAGTGTGTAGTCAGCAGGAGCAGACGGTCTCAAGGCCTTTCGGGGATTGCTGCCCTCTCTCTGATGTGGCGCCAGGAAGGAGGGACGGGTTAGAGCCCTGGGAGAAAACGACATGGGTTCACTTCTGTTTCCTTACCTGGGTCTCTCTCACCTGCTCTGCCCTCCCCCAGGAGAAGAAGAAGACCTTGCAGCTGACGCCTCAACAAGGCTTTAGTGAAAATGACGACGATGATGATGACTCATCAGAAACGGATTCGGATGAAGATGATGATGATGAAGAGCACGGAGCCCCCCTAGAAGGGTGAGGAAAGCACCTTCTTCAAAACATGGATTAGGAGAGTCTCAGTTAAAAGTGAAGTTCCAGCATCTCCTTTGATCTCTATTTAGGATTTCTATGTGTCTCAGAAACCCAACTGAATGAGTTTTCATTCTTTTCTGATCCACTGCCTCACTGAGTCTCAATGTCACTTGCACTGTCGGAAACATTTGTGGACTCGGGTCATGTGGCTTTGCTGAGTAAATCCAAAAGATGGTCCCTGACTTCGGGGAGTTCACATTCTGGGGCAAAATAAAGTTACGTACATACCAAAGCATTTCTGTTTAGCAAGGAAGCTCACGCGCACCGGAGGAGAAAACTCTAAGTTCAGATCCTTTATGGACAGGCTCTTCAGGGCCCACATGAGGCAAAACGTTCCTGAATGATGCTTAAGTACAAAACCTCTCGCCCTGTTCCAAACCTAGATTAGTCATGACCCATCCCTATAGGTTTTAATCAAAGTGGATTCTAAGACCCATCCATTTAACATATAATTACCGGTTAAATAAATGATGATGTAACCAGTCAGTGGAACTTTATCTAGCCCTGGAAAACAATGAGGTAGCACTCTTTGCACTGGTAAAGAAGTCTCCAGGCCCTTGCTGGTGTGGCTCAGTGGCTAGAGCGTCAGCCTGCGGACTGAAGGGTCCCGGGTTTGATTCCACCCAAGGGCACGTCCCTCGGTTGCAGGCTCAATCCACAGCTGTCCCGACCTGCGGGACAACAACGGGGGAACCAAGAGACCCCCTAGGAGAATGAGGCAAGCAAGGGACACGAAAGAATGGAGGCAAGACAGGATTCTGATCAAGCCTCAAACTTTATTCTTACAGCCGCAGGATATATACTGTTTTAGGGACGGGGGGTGGGTAAAGGGGGTCTATGGGCAGTAACCTGTGGGCAGTAACCTATCACTAGAGATTTAGTAGGCTCCGGATGGCTGTGCTTATCAGCGGAGATGCGTGAATTAGCAGCCTTCGGATGGCTGAGTGCTTTTCAGTGGAGATGTGTGATTGTCAGCGGAGATTTAGCAGTTGTGTACTTAGGGTGAGGGTAGGTTATCTTTTAACTCCTGGCCAA